CCTCAGCCTCCCGAGTAGCTGGGACTACAGGCGCCCACAACCAGCGCGCGGCTAATTTTTTGTATTTTTAGTAGAGACGGGGTTTCACCGTGGTCTCGATCTCCTGACCTTGTGATCCGCCCGCCTCGGCCTCCCAAAGTGCTGGGATTACAGGCGTGAGAATATTTGTTTTTCTACTTAATGACTTCAAAGTAAATAACTGCCCTTTTCAGAATCTCCTTCCACAAAATAAGCCAACTCTTCCCAGTTCCCTCCATCTTCCTCTCCAAGTCATAATGGAAATTGTAAGGAGTTTTCAAAATAGGGTTTGGCTTTTGCAAATAGAAGATATTGATTAAAGCAAAGTCAAATATAGAGTAAAATAAGTTTGTTTTCTTGAGACAGGGTCTTGTTCTGTTGCCCAAGCTGGAGTGCAGTAGTGCAATCACAGCTCACTGAATCCCTGTTCTCCTGGGCCTCAAGCAATCCTCCCACCTTAGCCTCCCAAGTAGCTGGGACTGGCTTTTTTTTTTTTTTTTTTTTTTTAGTGGGGTCTCATTGGTTGCTCAGCCTGGTTTCAAACTCCTGGGCTTAAGCAGTCCTCCACCTTCACTTCCACAGTGCTGAGATTACAGGCATGAGCCACCACACCTGGCCAAGTTTAATTTGTTGATGGCTGAGAACAGTTAGCTCGGAATACTTAACGTTTGAATAAGGAGTTCCTTATTCTGAGTCATGAATGAAAGGTGATAGATGCTTTCTTGGAAAGGGCAATACAGTCAACCCTTGGTATCCATGGGGGTTTGGTTCCAGGAACCCAACTGGATATCAGAATCCATGGGTGCTCAAGTCCCATTATATAGAATGGGTTATATGGTATTTGCATATAACCTACATACATCCTCCTGTGTACTATAAATCATCTGAAGATTACTTATACCTAATAAAATACCTACACATCACTTCATTTGCATGGATTCAACATAGTGCTGGGTGTTTGGCAAATTCAAGTTTTGCTTTTTTGGAACTTTGTGGAATTTTTTTCTTCTGAATATTTTTGATTGGCAGTTGGTTGAATCCATGGATGCAGAACCCATGGATATGGACGGCTGACTGTACTTACACATCTTTGAGTAACAAACTCTTTGGGGGAAAAGAGAGAAGTGTGTTGAGCAAGAGAAGGCAAGAAACATTATATACTATTTTGATTCTGTTACATGTGTCTATAGATTGTTTCATTCTAATCAAGACCTAAGAAGGTAATGATTCTTTCTGTGACTGGTTTAGAATTCTGGGGAGGAAATATCCTGGAACCATGTTTTTTAATAAATTCTGTCTCTTGGAAAGAGTTAACAGCTTGGGAAAGAGTTGTTATTCCAAAAGTCAGCCTGTTACTTGGTGAAGCTGAAGTTTAACAGTTCTGGGGAAAAATAAAATCTGATAATTCTAGCCTAGTTTGTTGATTGTCTTTTTTTTACCCTAAATAACATTTGTGTTTTGAGTCTTTATTTTTTGGCCACCTACATGAGCCAGCACACTTATAGGTGCTATACATAATGTGGAGAACAAAATGGACTAAAGGAGTATTGCCCTAAATTAGCAAAAGTTATTTTATAATTAATTTTAAATTAATTTGAAAAGATATTTGTAACACACAATATAAGAAGGAATAGTCACTTGAGACTTTACTTAGAATTACACATAAATACTAGCCTTTAAAAAAATTTTTTTAGGCTGGGCACGGTGGCTCACACTTGTAATCCCAGCACTTTGGGAGGTCAAGGCAGGCGGATCACTTGAGGTCAGGAGTTCGAGACCAACCTGGCCAAAGTGGTGAAGCCCCGTCTCAACTAAAATAAATAAATAAATAAATACAGAAGTTAGCCAGGCGTGGTGGCGTGCGCCTGTAATCCCAGCTACTGGGGAGGCTGAGGCAGGAGAATCATTTGAACCCGGGAGGCAGAGGTTACAGTGAGCTGAGCTCACGCCACTGCACTTCAGCCTGGGCAACAGAGCAAGATTCCATCTCAAAAAAAAAAAAAATGTATACAGCATCCCAAAGATCTTTAGTTATTAGTGCAGCCTCCCATAAAAGCAAGGAGACCAAGTCATGAATACCATGACTTAATGGTATGCCTATCTTCCTTTAAAATTGTGCTTTCCATCATTTACAATAGTATAAACTGAACCAAAGAGGCCAAGACTTGTACATTGAAAACTTCAAAATGTTGCCATACAAAATTAAGACATAGAAGTATCACATTTGGCAGGGCACAGTGGCCCACACCTGTAATCCCAGCACTTTGGGAGGCCAAGAAAAAAAAATGTATATTTTCATGGAGACAAAGACTTAATATTGTTAAAATGTCAATACTACCCAAAGTAATCTACAAATTCAATAGTCCCTATGAAAATCCCAACATTTCTGCAGATATAGAAAAATCTATCCTAGAATTCATACAGAATGTCAAGAGACCCCCCCCAAATACTCAAAATAATCTTGAAAAAGAACAAAGTTGGAGGTCTTATACTTCCTGATCTCAAAGTTTAACATAAAACTACAGTAACCAACAGTATGGTACTGGCATAAAAATTAGCATATAAACCAATGGAATAGAAAAAGAGCCTAGAAGTAAATCTTTACACATATGGTCAGATGATTTTTGACAAGGGTGCCAAGGCCATTCAGTGGAGAAAATATGGTCTTTTCAACAAATGGTGTTGGGAAGATTGGATAGCTACATACCAAAAAACAACAACAAAAGTTGGACCCTTACACCATATGCAAATATTAACTTAAAATGCATCAAGAACTAGCTCCATCCACTAAGGTTGGAAGAAAAATAGAGCTAGAATTATTAAATTCTTAAAAAGAAGAAAAAGAATTATTGGCCCGGCGTGGTGGTGCACGCCTGTAATCCCAGCACTTAGGGAGGTCGAGGCAGGTGTATCACCTGAGGTCAGGAGTTGGAGACCAGATAGGGTGAAATCCCATCTCTACTAAAAATATGAACATTAGCCAGGTGTGGTGGTGGGCACCTGTAATCCCAGCTACTCAAGCAGCTGAGGCAGGAGAATTGCGTGAACCTGGGAGGTGGAAGTTGTAGTGAACTGAGACTGTGCTATTGTACTCCAGCCTAAGCGACAGAGCAAGACCCTGTCTAAAAAAGAAAAAAAATAAATAAAGGAAAAGCTTCATGACATTGGATTTAGCGGTAATTTATTGGGTATGATCAAAAGCACAGCCAACAAAAGGAAAAATAGATTGGACTTCAGCAAAATTAAAAATTTGTGCATCAAGGGACACTATCAGCAGAATGAAAAGGCAACCCAAGGAATGGGAGAAAACATTTGTAAATAAGAAATCCTGCAACAATAAAAAGCCTGAAAAAATGAGCAAAGTACTGGAATAGACACTTCTTGCAAAAAGATGTAGAAATGTCCAATAAGTTCATGAAAAGCTCAACATCAGTAATCACTGGGGAAGTGTACAAATCAAAACCACAATGAGATACCACTTTATAAACCTATTAAGGTGGCTATTATCAAAAAAGTAGAACAAGTGTTGACAAGGACATAGAGAAACTGGAACTCAGGTACACCGTTGGTGGGAATGTAAAATGGTACAGCATTATGGTGATTTCTGAAAAAAGAAAAAAAAACAATTGCCATATATAATCCAGCAAACCCATTTCTGGGTATACACCCCAAAGAATTCAAAGCAGGAACTTCTATAGATACTTGTACACCTGTGTTTACAGCCCTATTATTCAAAATAGCCAAAAGGTAGAGACAACCCAGGTGTCCATCAATGGATGAATGGGTAAACAAAATTTAGTATATGCATACGATTGAATATTATTCAACTTTAAGAACAAATTCTGACACATGCTATGATATAGATGAGCCTTAAGGACATGATAAGTGAAGCCAGTCATACGTAGGACAAATATTATATGACTCCACTTACACTAAGTACCTAGAATAGTCAAAAGCATAAAGAAAGTAAAATGATGGTTCCCAGGGGCTTAAGGAAGAGCAGAATGGGGAGTCAGTGTTTAATAGGTACAGTTTGTGTTGGAGGAAGATGAAAAATTCTGGTGACAGATGGTGGTAATGGTTGCACAGCAATGTGAATGCACTTGATGCCACATAAATGTACGCTTAAAAATGGTTAAAACAGCAGGTTTTATGTATATTTTACTAGTTTTTTAAAAAACTGCTTCCCAGAAGAATTCAGAAAGTAATTACAATTATGTGTGTATATTTCAGTTACTACACATGCATATATCTCTGTTCACTGAGAGGGCCTAGCAGCAGATATGCCAGCAGCAACGGGTACATCCAATGCCCAGATCTTGTTTTCTAATACCGTTCTCCAAGAAAAGGCATCAGGGCTCCCTAGAGAAATGGCTGATTCTCCGTCGAGGGTATCTTGTAGCGCCAGAAAGTAAAGAAGTGTTCCACAAACAAGGATGCAGGTATGTGAAAGGGGCACAGGAGCCAACTGATAGAATGCCCAAGGGCCAAAGATGAAACAAATCTCAGCAACAAAGTAAATAATGCAGCTTAGGATTATAACCCAAAGGATAAAGTAAGTACCCATGAGTCCATATTGATATAAATGACCTGATGAAGGAGCAGTAGCATCTCTCCTATACAGAAAAAGCCCAAATAATTATGTAGATACCGCCTCCCCCACTTCAAGGAGATGGAGCTTAACTCCCCACCTTTCGAGTACGGATTGTGCTTAGTCACTTGCTTTGAGTACAATATGTAAAGAGGAAAAAAAAATTGTATAGTAACCTGGCAAACACTATCTTGGCCAGATGATCAACATTTGTATTAATATCATGAGTGATAAGCCCTATTAATAACAGGTATCCTTGATGTGATGAAAATGCCCCTTTTTGGTCTTCCTCCTAAGACCAGAAGGAAAACAATCAGAAAACTTCACAGACATTCTACAAAACCAACTAGTACTCCTTAACGCTGTCATGGTCATCAAAACCAAGTCTGAGATCCTTCTGTAGTTCATAAGCATCATGACTGGGCTTTCACACTTCTGTGTTAGATGTGCCTCCTTCACGCCTTGTTACATCAGGACATTACCCATCTGATGTGAAAAAAAAAAGGTTGGGAATCTGAAGTCATTAAAAACAAAACTGAGGTGGTTAAATGAATGTAATTGTGGGATCCTGGAATGAAAAGAATATTTGGAAAAAAACTAAAGATCTGAACTGTGCGATTTAGTTAACAGTAAAGTATCAAAGTTGGTTGCTTAGTTGTGACAAATATCCTGTAGTAATGCAGGATACTAACAATAGGTATACAGGTGGGTGAGGTGTATACAGGGACTCTGTACTGTTTTTGCAATGTCTCTGTATATCTAAAACTTTTTTTTTTTTTGAGATGGAGTATCACTCTGTCGCCCAGGGTGAAGTGCAATGGCGCGATCTCAGCTCACTGCAACCTCTGCCTCCTGGGTTCAAGCAATTCTCCTGCCTCAGCCTCCTTAGTAGCTGGGATTACAGGCACGCACCACCATGCCTGGCTAATTTTTTGTATTTTTAGCAGAGATGGGGTGTCACCATGTTGGTCAGGGTGGTCTCGAACTCCTGACCCCATGATCCACCAGACTCGGCCTCCAGAAGTGCTGGGATTACAGGCATGAGCCACCACAACCAGTGACCGAAAACTACTCTAAAATAAAGTTTATATATTAAAAAATCGTGCTTTCATACTCAAAGTCTAACCCAATAGAACCTGACTGAACTCATCCCTAAATGCAGTTTCAGTTCTTATTTATTTCCAAATAGACTCCAAGTTTTGCAAGGTTGATAAGCAGATAGAAACTATGAGAAAGTCTTTAGTTCACTCACTATTTGTAAGTCAAGTTATAAAAACATATAATGAAACTCTTAAAGGAGATTTAACCATTATGTGAAAGAAGGCTCTCCATTACAGCCTCATTTCAGTTTTGTTCACCAAAAAATGAGGGCCCTTTTTAAATAATTATATTTCAGTAGTTTAATGGTCCTGTTTTGATTTACAGCAAAACTTCTTTCAAATTAACTTAGCCTAATGTATTACCCAAAATGTTATACCAAGTCAAATCTTAATAATTCTTAGATAATAGCTGGTTTGGGAACTATCATCGATGACTGAGGTCTCCCATGCTAAGAACAGGTTAATTATTTATTTATTTATTTATTTATTTATTTATTTATTTATTTATTTTTTGAGATGGAGTCTCACTCTGTCGCCCAGGCTGGAGTGCAGTGGCATGATCTCGGCTCACTGTAAGCTCCACCTCCCAGGTTCACGCCATTCTCCTACCTCAGCCTCCTAGTAGCTGGGACTACAGGTGCCCGCCACCACACCCGGCAATTTTTTGTATTTTTAGAAGAGACGGGGTTTCACCATGTTAGCCAGGATGATCTTGATCTCCTGACCTCATGATCCACCCGCCTCGGCCTCCCAAAGTGCTGGGATTACAGGCGTGAGCCACCGCACCCGGCCGAGAACAGGTTAATTTTGATGTTAACACACTACTATGGTATAAAGATTGTTGTAAGCATGTCAGTCAATATACCAAATCAGAAACCACGTATCTGACAAGCATAATTTCTACACCTAGAATAAGTGGCACAAACTTTAGTCAGTGAATTATCTTGAAATGTAGAATTAATTTAAAAATAGAACCAGTAGCCCAGGCACAGTGGCTCACACCTGTAATCCCAGTACTTTGGTAGGCCGAGGCAGGCAGATCACTTGAGGCCAGGAGTTCAAAACCAGTCAATGTAGTGAAACCCCATCTCTACTAAAAGTACAAAAATTGGCTTGGTGTGGTGGTGCATGCCTGTAATCCCAGCTACTCGGGAGGCTGAGGCAGGAGAATCGCTTGAACCCAAGAGGCGGAGGTTGCAGTGAGCCAAGATTATTGTACCACTGCACTCCAACCTGGGCGACAGAGTGAGACCCTGTCTTTAAAAAAAAAAAAAAAAAAAAAGAACAAGCAAGTGGTTGTAAGCATCGCTGAGGATATCAGATCCCTAAGACTTAATAATTAAGCATGGTAAAGAAGAGGTAACTCAGGCTTCCAGAGGGCAAGGGCAAGTAGAGTGAAAAAGCTGTACAAGTCTCCAGAAAGCAGTAATGACTTAGCATTCTGGATGCTGCTTTATGGCACAAAAGTATCATTATGGAGTGTGCTGGTGGAAGGTAAAGTTAAGAAAAAGTAAAGGGTCATTCATATTCAATTACAACATCTATCACAAATACTACGTTCTTCTAGCATAACATTGCTTGTATTCCGCAATTTATTTTTGTCTTGCTGTCATCCAGTCTGGAGTGCAGTGGCGTGATCCCGGCTCACTGCAACCTCTGCCTCCCTGGTTCAAGCAATTCTCCTGCCTCAGCCTCCCAAGTAGCTGGGATTATAGGCACGCACCACCACACCCGGCTAATTTTGGTATTTTTAGTACAGATGGGGTTTCACCATGTTGGCCAGGCTAGTCTCCGACTCCTGGTCTCAGGTAATTCACCCACCTCGGCCTCCCAAAGTGCTGGGATTACAGGAGTGAGCCACCGAGTCTGGCCACAACCAGGTATGTTTTCAAATCACAGTCTTTGAATAAACTTGTTAAGTTTTGCCTGTGGGCTTCAAATTAAGATTCTTAAACTACCTTGGTGATCCTTGTGACCTTCAATGAGTCCATCCATATTCTAGAGTCTACCTTGGTTATACACCTTCATGCTTTATCCCCAAGTGCTTTCAGAACCATTTCACTGAGATGTTCCTAACGTTGACATAAAACCTTGAAACTATAAAAGGGGAGATTTAAGAATTCAGTCATGTAAAAATAGCTTCTGCCATGATGAGCAAACAAAGAGGACAAACTGGGGGGGAAAAGGTATTTAAAGCTCACTATAGGAACAAAGTACTCCTGCAGATTAGTTAAGACCAAAGCCAATAGAAAAGCAGTTGATAAACATCACACAAAGGCAATCAGCCAAATTCAGATTATGGAAACCTACAGGTTAATCTTATTTCTTCAGCAAATAAGAAACAAAAACAAATAAATGAATGGCAAATCATCCTGAATAAGAGAAGAAACAGACACTTCAACTTTACTAAAGATATCCAAATGGCTAGTAAGCTTATGAAAAAGTACTATTCATTGTCAGGGAGAGCAAATTAAAACCAGAAGATACCACTACACACACAATGGCTAAAATTATAGACTGACAACAGCAAATGATAAGGATGTGGACCTACTAGAACTCTGGGAATGTAAAACAGGATGATCATTTAGGAAAAAGTTTGTCATCTTCTAGTAAAATTTAAAATACATCAACTTAGGATATTCCCACTCCTAAGTACTTATCCAAATTAAATTAAATTAAAATGTAGGTTCACAAAAACGTTGTACATGTTCATACCAACTTTATTCATGATAGCCCCAAACTAGAAACAGCTCATTGTTCATCAGTTGTTCACCTAACAGGTGAAACATTAAAATGTGGCATATTCATACATAGAATACTGCTCAGCCATAAAAAGGAACAAAGCTTAAACACACTGATGAATATACCAACATGCTGAGTAAAAGGAACTTACAGAATACATACTGCATAAGTGAGTCCATTATATGAAGTTCTAGAATAGGCAAAATTAATCTACAGTGAACAAAATCTTAACAGTAGCTGACTGCCAGGCGAGGGAAGAAAGGGCAGGAGAGGTACAGGAATTGACTAGGTGAAAAAAAAATTCAGATGTAATACAAATGTTCCAAATTTAGGGGTTTGAGTTACATGCTTTTACATCAAAACTCATCAAATGAGTCTGGGTATGGTGGCTCACACCTGTAATCCCAGCACTCTGGGAGGCCTACATGGGTAGATCACTCAATGTCAGGAGTCTGATATCAGCCTGGCCAACATGGCAAAACCCCATCTCTAATAAAAACACAAAAATTAGCTAGGCATGGTGACAGGCACCTGTAATCCCAGCTACTCAGGAGGCTGAGGCGGAAGAATCCTTTGAACCCAGGAGGCGGAGGTTGCAGTGAGCCAAGACTAGGCCACTGTACTCTAGCCTGGACGATATAAGACTCCATCCCCCCAAAAAAAAACCTCATCAAATGATACACTTAGCATTTATTCATCTTACTGCAAATCTCCCTCAAAAAAACTCCAATGACGGCTGGTGTGGTGGCTGATGCCTGTGATCCCAGCACTCTGGGAGGCTGAGGAAGGCAAATCACTGGAGGCCAGGAGTTCCAGACGAGCCTGGCCAACATGGTGAAACCCCATCTCTACTGAAAATACAAAAATTAGCTGGGCGTGGTGGTGCACATCTGTAACCCCAGCTACTCGGGAATCTGCGGCACGAGAATTGCTTGAAACTGGGGGGTGGAGATTGTAATAAGCTGAGATCATGTCACTGTACTCCAGCCTGGGTGACAGAGAGACTCTGTCTCAAACACAAAAAACAAAAACAAAAACAAACTCCCATGACATGTATGCTGAAAGGATTAAAAGTGAAAAATGTCTACAACTTACTTGGACACGCATATAGAAGAAAAGATGAGACTGCAGGAGGCAGGCTATGTGATAAAGCATGGCAAATGCTACTTGTAGAATCTAAGGGATGGGCATTGGCATCACCAGGATTTTATATACTGACAGAAAATCATCTTTAGGGTATTTAGGTGGGAAAAAAGCCAAAATATAAAATAGCACATATAGTATAATTTACATTTTAAAAAGAAATGAAAACATCCATTAACACTTGCTTATAAATAAAGTAAAAGTCACAGAAGCTTACACTAGAAACTGATGACAGGGGTGTGCAAGAATAGAAACTAAACAGCTGAATTACAGGATGGGAAGGAGAATCTTCACTACATACCCTTTGTATCTCTTCAAGTTTATTGCCTTCAAAAAATAAAATATAAACAACTTTAAAATGAGCCTATTTTTCTGAGACAGGGTCTCACTCTGTCACTCAGGCGGGAGTGCAGCAACGCAGTCACGGCTCACTGCAGCCTTGACCTCCCAGGCTCAAGCAGTCCTCCCACTTCAGCCTCACAAAGTGCCGGAATTACAGGTGTGAGCCACCACACCTAGCCTATTCTTGGTTTTCATATCATCAGGCTTAAGACAGACTAAACCTTCCTTCCTATACTTCCTTTCTAAAAATAAGAAAACCACTCGAACTAAAAAACTGGGCAAAAAACCCAGACACCTCACCAAAGATGATATATACGGATGGCAGGTTAAGTATATGAAAAGATGTTCCACATCACTATGGGATTGGGAATTAAAACAATGAGACCACTATTCACCTATTAGCTAAAATGCGAAAGAGTGACATCACCAAATACTAGTGAGGATGAGGAGCTACAGAACTCTCCTTCATTGTCAATGGGAATTCAAAATGGTCATGTTGGAAGAGAGTTTGGCAGTTTCTTCCAAAACGAAACATACTCTTAACTTACAATCCAGCAACCTGGTTCCTTGGTATTTATCCAAAGGAGTTGAAAACAAGTCTACACAAAACCCTGCACACAAATGTTTATAGTAGATTTATTCCCTTCCTACAAACTTCAGAGATTCTCTTCTAATTTGCTGGACTTGGGGGATGGGAGGGTAATGTATTTCTAACGCGTTAGAGCAACTTGGACTGGAACTCTACTGCTGATATATATATACACCATTCTCCTCCATACACATGTCCTACCAATTCAATGTGAGTGCCTTCACATAATTTAGGGAAAGTCTCAGAACAATGGAGTCTTTTTGTGTTTTGGTTTTTTTGGTTTTGTTTTTGAGACAGTCTCGCTCTGTTGCCCAGGATCCAGGATGGAGTGCAATGGCACGATCTTGGCTGGCTACCTCTGCCTCCCAAGTAACTGGGATTACAGGCGTGTGCCACACGTGGCTAATTTTTGTATTTTCAGTAGAGGCAGTTTCACCAAGTTGGCCAGGCTATCTTGAATTCCTGACCTCAAGTGACCCACCATGGAGTGTTTTAAATTCTAAAACAAACAAGATGTAACACCAAAAAATAAATTTCCAAATGAGAACTGAATAAGGGCTGTTTAGGGCAGAGGACATTAACAAGGCATGTTGATTAATAAGCAGATTCATGGCACACGATGTTGCCTTCCAAGTGGGTTCCTTATGCTTCCCCCTTCACATAACACAGAAGTAGTGAGAATTTGGAGCCTTCCTCCCAGGGAAGATTCGGTCCCCCTTCCCACGTGACAGAAGCTTCAGTTACCCACGCATAAAGGGACACACACTCTATTTCTGCTTCACTGTCTGGTGTCAATATTTAGATAAGACCACAATATTCAGCAATGAGCTCCTTGGTATTTTCATACTGCTTCTGAGAGTTCTCCCTTGCAGCTCCTTAAGCAGCAGCTAGGCTAAAGCAGGATATGAGCACCCTGATCATATACCCCACTCCCACTATTCTTCCTGATAGCTTTACCACAAAGGAAGCTATAGACACAAGGAACCCAAACAGAAGAGGGAAATTCACCATCAATGCTTCCTTCAAAAGCAAACAGTGATGCAAAACACAGTCTTCTCAAATGTGGGGAGACAGTACTGTCTTCCACTTGCACGGAAATAAGATTACTTTTACTCTATTATGTGCTTCTCTTCCTTTCCCATAACTACATTCACCTTAGCAATCACTTACGTACTAGGCTACACTATGAACAAACACAAAACGGAGCATTCAAATACATAAGATGACTTCCCAATAATAGCCACCTTTTGTACAGAAAACTCAGCCTGTAGTGTGGCAAGAAGATACACCCGTTCAACCTTACCCATCATATAGCATTTTAATGCTTTGCTTGCATTCTTTTCCCACAGATGTGCAAATAAAACTCATTAGCTTAAACCAATTGCAAATGAATTCCTCACTACCCCAATCACAGTAGACCCCACAGATCTTTTCCACAGCAAATTAGATACCAAATGTGAAAGAGAAACAAAGATCACGTTCTAACAGTTCGTACAACTACGGATGCCAGTTCTCAAGGCTTGGCATATTCAACCATATATGAAAACGCATTTCCATCTAAGTAGTACTACTGACGATGTTAAGCTGGTTAAGTCACGTTCACAGGATTTAAAAGAACACACACGAAAATTAACCCTTACTACTTATATTAATATACCAGGACTTGAGGTAATAATATATTCATAGTTGACTCACACACTCCAATAATACTCTTAGGTAATCTTCGGCCTGAAACAAGTCTTCATTTATTGACTACTTACAGTACAGTGATTTTGCATCTTAGCTGGTAATCAAAAGACGGTTCTGTATTAAGAGAAGATATAGTCTCTCTTCCAGATATCACCTGTCAGAAATCTGGGCAAATTTAATTTTAAGAACTAGAATTGCATCTCCTGGTGGCAGTCGTCACCCTGAGAACAGGAACAAGGCAAAGAAACTGTACAGGATTTTGATTCTCCTACACAGGTGCACATAGTTTATTAACGACTATATTTTGAAGCCAGCCATTTTGTCCAATATTTAAATTACAAGCTGTTTTAATATTAAAGCAGAATGTACCGCCACATTGTGACAAAAGTACAGCTTTATCCATAAACCCTTCACACAATTATACATTAAATGCTATTATTTAAGCAAGGCACCCCTACTTGTTCTAAAATATGGGATGTACTACTCCATTGAAAAAGCAAATGAGGAGACTGGTTTTTTTCCTATCTAAAGCTGGTTTAAATTCAAGTGAAGCCATTAATTTTCTTACCAGTCTGGACTGTTCTGACATGTCACTTCACAGTTTTGAGACTAACAAACACCCTTAGGTTTACCCCAAATCAAAAAACGCCAGGGTGGGACAGTTCAGACAACTTTGAAGACTAGAATGCCCCCTAAGTAGATAGGCACCAACGTTAAACGCCTTTAGCACAAGGCTTAGAAAGGCAAAACATTTCTAAAGACATAAAACCACCAAATTGTCATTTACACTCACTAAGTTGTGGTATTTATTTTTTGTTTTGATTTTTTAAAATTCCTATCTCTAAGTAATCAAATACAGCAAAATTTAAAACCATTCTGCCAAACCATACCAGTTCAAAGGTCTGAAACCCTTCTTTGCTTTGGTGAATGTTTGGTTAAAATAAATCACTGTTTTACCCCATGAGAAGTTTTACATCAGAGCACTCAATTCACAGGAAAAAAAAAAAAAAAGTTACTTTTTAAATGAAAGCGTTTAAAGAACACTGCTGAATATGTAGTCTTTACAATGGGTAACATATCATCTACGAAAACAAACCATTTAATCATATAAAACAAAGACTATATTTTTAAATCAGATCCTGGACAGTTTAAACAAAAATTTTAATTTGTGGTTTATTTCATAATCCCAAACTGGATCTTTCATTTCTTCTTCTAAGCAGTCCACTATGAAACTTTTCTTAGAAGCAATTAACCCAAAACACCAAAATCATTTCCCTAGCAGTTGCTGCTAATAAACTGGAACTGTATATCCCACGTCCAAGAAAGATGTGCAAATGAAATGCTTCTTGCTTCACCCTAAAAATAAAACAAAAAATGTTGCACATTTAGTCAAGATAAAAAAGGATAGCACACATTCCCATACCATTTAAAACTGCAAATTCAAATTTTTCTCCTTTCTAATTTAGTGCAAGTTATCTGATAAACCAAGTTAAAGTGAGGAAAACTAGTTAGGCATTAGTGTTTACAGGCTGGTATAAAAAACACAGTTTCAGAATATATTTTAAATAGATTTTAGCTATTACGAGTATTTAACATCACAGAATTGTGGGACTTCATATCCAAAAATAGCAACAGAAGAGGCCGGGCGCAGTGGCTCATGCCTGTAATCCCAGCACTTTGTGAGACTGAGGCGGAAACATCACGAGGTCTGGAGATCGAGACCATCCAGGCCAACACAAGGAAACCCTATCTCTACTAAAATACAAAAAATTGGCGGGGCACGGTGGCTCAAACCTGTAATCCCAGAACTCTGGGAGGTTAAGGCAGGCAGATCAGCTGAGGTCAGGAGTTCGAGACCAACCTGGACAACATGAAGAAACCCTGTCTCTACTAAAAATAAAAAATTAGCCGGGTGTGGTGGCGCATGCCTGTAATCCCAGCTACTCCAGAGGCTGAGACAAGAGAATCACTTGAACCCAGGAGGTGGAGGTTGCAGTGAGCCGAGATCCTGCCATTGCACTCCAGCCTGGGCAACAAGAGAGAAACTCCATCTCAAAAATAAATAAATAAAATAAAATAAAATACAAAAACTTAGCTGGGCATGGTGGTACACGCCTATAGTTCCAGCTACTCGGTAGGCTGAGGCAGGAGAATCACCTGAACCCGGGAGGCAGAAGTCACAGTGAGCAAAGATCACAGCCTGGGCGACACAGTAAGACTCCATCTCAAAAACAAAAACAAAACAAAAAAAAAAAAACAAAAAAAAACCTAATAGAATAGGATATAGTAATAGAATGAATGCCCGTGTTTTTTTGTTCCTTTTTTTTTGAGACAGAGTTTCATTCTATCATTCAGGTTGGCTGGAATGCAGTGGCACAATCTCAGTCACTGCAACCTCCGCCTCCCAGATGCAAGTGATTCTCCTGCCTCAGCCTTCCCAGTAGCTGGAACTACAGGTGTGCACCACCACATCCAGCTAATTTTTGTATTTTTAGTAGAGACAGTGTTTCGCCATTTTGGCCAGGCTGGTCTCGAACTCCTGACCTCAGGTGTTCTGCCTGTCTCGGCCTCCTGAAGTAATGGGATTACAGGAGTAAGCCACCACACTCGGCCCCATGTGTTTTCAAGAAATCATTACAGGTAAGTGTCTCAAAAGAGTGAGTCATTACATGTAGAAAAGTGACTGCAATACATCAGTAATACTTAAAATACTTTATGGGAAAAAAAAAGACACCATATATTTAATTGAGGGAAGGAACATCAAGATATATTAAGCAAATCTCATGGGTAAGTTAACACTATAAAATTACGTACCTCCTACGGCACAAAAAAAAAATGCCATTTTAGGAAAAGGAAACAGTGACACGTTAACTGTGTTTACGGATGATACACTCTGGTTTCACATATATCCTTTTAAAAATACCTTAAACCAGAAAATGCCCGGGCGTGGTGACTCACGCCTGTAATCCCAGCACTTTGGGAGGCTGAGGCTATCGGATCACTTGATGTCAGGAGTTCGAGACCAGACTGGTGAAACCTCATCCCTACTAAAAATACGAATATTAGCTGGATGTGGTGGAGACTGCCTGTAATCCTAGCTACTTGGGAGGATGAGGCAGGAGAATCACTTGAACCCGGGAGGTGGTGGTTGCAGTGAGCTGAGATTGCGCCACTGCACTCCACCCTGGGCAAAAAAAGTAAGACTTCATATCAAAAAAAATAAAAATAAAAAAAAAACCTGAGAAAATGGAAACGGTGTTTAAATTTAAGTGGGAAAATAAAAAGCTAATGCAAGTCATATATCCAGTCTACTACAATTTATAGCTACTAAAGGCAGCTATTTTTTGGCACATAGCATGATGGATGTTGGAAATTATGCATAAAAATTCTACATGGAGATAATGCTCAAAGCTATTATACAAATCATAAGGAATTATGGCTGGGCACAGTGGCTCACCCCTGCAATCCCAGCACTTTGGGAAGCCAAGGCAGGTGAATCACTTTGACCTAGGAGGCGGAGTTCACAGTGAGCCGAGATTGTGCCACTGCAATCCAGCCTGCTCAACAAAGCAAGACTCTGTCTCAAAAAGAATTAAAAAACAGGCCGAAGCGGCTCATGCCTGTAATCCCAGCACTTTGGGAGGCCAAGGCAGGTGGATCACCTGAGGTCAGGAGTTCAAGACCAGCCATAACCAACACGGAGAAACCCCATCTCTACTAAAAATACAAAGATTAGCTGGGCGTGGTGGCGCATGCCTGTAATCCCAGCTACTCGGGAGGCTGAGGCAGGAGAATCTCTTGAACTCTGGAGGTAGAGGTCGCGGTGAGCGGAGATCGTGTCACTGCACTCGGGCCTGGGCAATGAGAGTGAAACTCCGTCTCACAAAAAAATCAATAAATAAAATTTAAAAAAAAAAAAAGCAAGAAAAAAATCATAATTAATTATATTTCCCAGGAGAATTTTTTTTTTTTTTGCCCCCACATCTGAGAAGCCAGAGTGAGAATTTTCATTCCTTATATTGACACTTCAATTATCATTAGTTTGATCTTTATTAAAAAGGAATGGTGCCAAGTGGGCTGGTCACTCTTGTAATTCCAACACTTTGGGAGGCAAAGGCAGCAGGATCACTTAAGGCCAGAAGTTCAAGGCCATCCTGGGCAACATAGTGAGACCCCACCTCTACAAAAAATTTAAAAATTAGCTAGGCAAGGTGGTACACACCTGTAGTCCCCACTACTCAAGAGGCTGAAGTGAGGGAATCACCTGAGCCCAGAAGGTTGAAGCTGCAGTGAGCTATGATCGCACCACTGCTAGCCTGGGCAACAGAGAGAGACCTGGTCCCTAAAAAAATTTGAAAAATAAAAAGAGAATGATTTCCACCATATTATAAATTAGTGAGTGGATGATTATTAGTTTATCAATACAAAATAATTTCCACGGTTGTACCTCTTTTTTTTTTTTTTTTTTCTTTGAGTCTCATTCTATTGCCCAGGCTGGAGTGCAGTGGCACAATCTCAGCTCACTGCAACCTCTGCCTCCTAGGTTCAAGTCATTCTCCCACTTCAGCCTCCTGAGTAGCTGGGATTATAGGCACCAGCCTTCATGCCCGGTTAATTTTTGTATTTTTAGTAGACAGGGTTTCACCATGTCGGCCAGGCTGGCTCTAACTCCTGACCTCAGGTGATCCACCCACCTTGGCCTCCCAAAGTGCTGCGATTACAGGTGTTGAGCCACTGCGCCCAGCCCACAGTTTTACCTCTTAAATTTACCTTATTATCTGGAGCCCCTGAAGTCTTATTTTCCTTTTGGACATGAATTCAGGAACAGTTCAATATACCTATGATCTGAGGATAATGAGAAAGATTAGTTTTAAAAAGTTGAAAAGGGAGATCAATTTTACAGCCATTTTTCTCACAGTTCAGACAACAATTCAAACGCTTTGCCCTTTCCTTTCCCTAATTAAAAACAAAATTTAGGCCGGGCGCGGTGGCTCACGCCTGTAATCCCAGCACTTTGGGAGGCCAAGGAGGGAGGAACACCTAAGGCGTTCGAGCCAGCCTGGCCAATATAGTGAAACCCCGTCTCTACTAAAAATACAAAAATTAGCCAGTTTGGTGGCAGGTGCCTATAGTCCCAGCTACTCAGGAGGCTGTGGCAGGAGAATCATTTGAACCCAGGGGGCGGAGGTTGCAGTGAGAGCCCAGATCACACCACTGCACTACAGACTGGGTGACAGACAACACGCCGTCTCAAACAACAACAAATAAAATGTAGAACAGACAAACAGGCTGGGTGCGGTGGCTCATGTCTGTAATCCCAGCACTTTGGGAGGTTGAGGCACGGGGATCATTTGAACCCAGGGGTTCGAGACCAGCCTGGCCAACATGGCGAAACCTGTCTCTACTAAAAATACAAAAATGAGTCAGGCATGGTGCTGGGCACCTGTAATCCCAGCTACTCAGATGGCTGAGGCAGGAGAATTACTTGAACTCAGGAGGCGGAGACTGCAGTGAGCCGAGATGGCACCACTGCATTCCGGCGTGGTTGACAAAAAAAAAAAGAAAGAAAGAAATTTGCAGGATAATTAGCAGACAAATAAATGTTTTTAAAATTATAGTGTTTTTATCTGTTACGTTTAATTTACTAGTACTAAAAGAATACAAATTTTCCAAGGAAAAATTCTACAATCCCAAAACAGAAAGAGATACTTATAAGCAAAGACAAGCATCAAAAATGACAACGAAAGCCAAAGGCAGGACTTACGAACGTGGGACCGATCCTTGAGCATTGCTGCAACAGCATCCTCATGGGTCTCAAAGTGCACATCAGCTTCTCCAGTGGCCTTCCCGCTGGAGCTGTATTCCATGGTGATTCTAACAGGCTTGAGTGGAGCGAAAAACTAAACGACAAAGGCAGTCAAGAGGAACATGATGGATGTAAGTAAACCCGCCTAGTAGTCTGGTGGCTCATCTTTCTTTCAGACTTTGATTCATACACTTGATACATTTGTTTTTAGGAAATTCCTTTTTTAAGTAGTAACATATTTATACATCTAGTATGTCTTCTGGCTTTTCTACTTTTTCTCAGAACTCAAAGTGACATTTAAAGTACCTGCTCTCAGAGAGCACAGTGGCTCGCACCTGTAACCTCAACACTTTGGGAGGCCAAGACGAGTGGATCACTTGAGGTCAGGAGATCAAGACCAGCCTGGCCAACACGGTGAAACCCCATCTCTACTGAAAATACACAAATTAAACAGGCATGGTGGCACGTGCCTGTAATCCCAGCTACTCGGGAAACTGAGGCGGGACAAATGCTTGAACCCGGGAGGCAGAAGTTGCAGTGAGCCAAGTTCAAGCCACTGCACTCCAGCCTGGGCGACACGGCAAGACTCTGTCACAAAAAAAAAAAAAGAGGCCAGGCGCGGTGGCTCAAGCCTGTAATCCCAGCACTTTGGGAGGCCGAGACGGGCGGATCACGAGGTCAGGAGATCAAGACCATCCTGGCTAACACGGTGAAACCCCGTCTCTACTAAAAAATACAAAAAACTAGCCGGGCGAGGTGGCGGGCGCCTGTAGTCCCAGCTACTCGGGAGGCTGAGGCAGGAGAATGGTGTAAACCCGGGAGGTGGAGCTTGCAGTGAGCTGAGAGCCGGCCATTGCACTCCAGGCTGGGCGACAGAGCGAGACTCCGTCTCAAAAAAAAAAAAAGAGAGAGAGAGAAAAAAAAGTAATACCAAGCCACACTTTTCAGCTACAGAAAAAGCAGCAAGCCTTGCAACCAGGAAGATGCCATCTTACTATCCAAAGATAACACAGAAACACTACATATTTTCTTCTCTACCATCCCCAAATTAATACAAGTTTCATTTTAGAACTTTTGTTCAAATCTATTGAGACTCGGTATCTTACTGCCACACACGTTTATAATGTCTTGGGCATTGGCTTGGAAAGGTAATCCTCTCATGTGGACAAAATGCAGAGAAGACGTAGTTCCAAAATCAGCAGCCTCTGGAAGCTTTTCTGGCACCTCCTTAGGCAATTCTGAGAGGTGGAACAGAAAGCACTGTTAAAACGTAACAGCTTCAAGGGTTATTAACAGATTCTAATTAGGTATGACTTCTATGTCCAAATCCTCAATTCCTCTTAAGAGCTTTAAAAGCCAAAATGATCTGAAATTTCTGCCACTTAACAAATATCACCTGAACACCCATAAGCACTGAATGCCTCAGACCACTACCAGTTTAAGAACTTACCCCTTTCTGTAACAACAGAGAGCAGATAAAATGATTATGAATTAAACCCTAAAAGAGACTTTCTAGATTATAGGTACTAAAAAGAAAAAAAAGGAACAAAGGCTGGGCATGGTAGCTCACACTTGTAATCCCAACACCATGAAAGGCTGAAGTAGGAGAATCACTTGAGCCCAGGAGTTCGAGACCAGCCTGGGCAACACAGTGAGACACTGTCTCTACAAAAAAAAAAAGACGCCGGGTGCGGTGGCTCACGCCTGTATTCCCAGCACTTTGGGAGGCTGAGGCAGGTAGATTACAAGGTCAGGAGATCGAGACCATCCTGGCTAACACAGTGAAACCCCATCTCTACTAAAAATGCCAAAAATTAGCCAGGTGTGGTGGCGGGCACCTGTAGTCCCACCTACTTAGGAGGCTGAGGCAGGAGAATGGCATGAACCCGGGAGGCAGAGCCTGCAGTGAGCTGAGATCCGGCCACTGCACTCCAGCCTGGGCGACAGAGCAAGACTCCATCTCAAAAATAAATAAATAATTAAATAATTAAAAAAAGAAAAAGAAAAATAACTTAGCTGGACATGGTGATGCAAGTCTATAGTTCCAGCTACTCAGGAGGCTGGGGTGGAAGAACTGCCTGAGCCCAGGAGTTCAAGGTTGCAGTGAGCCATGATTGTGCCACTGCACTCCAGAATGGGCCACAGAACAACACCTTGTCTCAAAAAACTATATATATACATACACACACACACACATATATATATAGTGACAAGATAATCCCAGGGTACCAGTTTAAAAAGTATTTATCAAACTTAAAAGATTCCAAATGTTGCTCTGAGTTAGGAATCAAAGAAATAATTAAATCCAGAAGCAAACAAAAATCCTTACTTCTGGTGGGCACAGTGGCTCATGCCTGTAATCCCAGCACTTTGGGAGGCAGAGGCGGGCAGATCCCCTGAGGTCAGTAGTTCAACACCAGCCTGGCCAACATGGGGAAACCCTGTCTCTACTAAAAATATAAAAGCCGGCCACAGTGGCAGGCACCTGTACTCCCAGCTACTTGGGAGGCCGAGGCAGGAAAATGGCGTGAACCCAGGAGGCGGAGCTCGCAGTGAGCGGAGATCTCCCCACTGCACTCCAGCCTGGGCGACAGAGCAAGACTCTGTCTCAAAAAAAAAAAAATCCTTACTTCAGTCAATATTCCTGCTCATTACCCAAATCTTCCCCCATCTTAATTTAAATATTGACATTTTACTTCCTTTTATCACATTTTTACTACCCAGCTTTTGATATAGTTAATAAAAATGATTAAATTAAAAACCTAGCAAAATAATTAAGTCTTTCTGCATATACTCAAAGCATGTACTATACTCCAAGACCTATTAAATCTTTAGGCCTGGTGTGTTGGCTCACACCTGTAATTCCAGCACTTTAGGAGGCTGAAGCAGGTGGATCACTCGAGGTCAAGAGTTCCAGACCAGCCTGGCCAACATGGCGAAACCTTGTCTCTACTAAAATTATAAAAATTAGCTGGGCGTGGTGGCATGCACCTGTAGTCCCAGCTACTCAGGAGGCTAAGGCAGGAGAATCGCTTGAACCCGGGAGGTAGAGGTTGCAGTCAGCCAGGATCGCACCACTGCGCTCCAGCCTGGCAACAGAGCGAGACTCTGTCTCAAAAAAAAAATTTTTTTTCCGCAAAATCCAAAACATTCAAGATAGAACCAATGAGTCTCAAGAAGAGACAGGACCTTACCTATTTCCTTCTCACTTTCAAAAGCTGTCATGGGTCGAATATCCTCATTTACTTCATGTTCTTCAAAGACCATTTCTGGCTCAGTTATATACTTAGCAGTAGGAGAAGATGTGATTTTCTTTCCCTTATGAGAACCAACATGTGTTCGAACTTCATTCCTTCTGCTTGGAAATATCTCGATGTATCTATGTCAAAGAAAAAGTGAACAGGCACAAATGGTGCAAAGTAACTTTATACTGAACTCACTTAAAATAAACATGTATACATTATATTTCCAACAGCTTATGAAACACAGGTGTCCAAAGATAACAGGTAGGGAAAAGTAATAATGGATGCAGATAGTAGCCCATGAAAACATAAAACAGTAGGTCACTGATTTAAGTTTTTGCACCAAGGTAACACTTTTTCTTTATACACATTTTAACAATATTTTCTACTCTGTTTTGCTTCATGAGAACTATGCTTACGTTAACTGTGTACACAGAGAAAATTAATCTCATAAGGGTTTTTTAAACAGCTGGTTAACAATCTCTTGAAGCCTTGAAATTCAATTCTGTGCAAATTAATCACATCTGTATAAGATATTAAAAGTCACAGTAAAAGAAGAGCTAACTTCCCAGAACTTCACTAAAAGGCTAATGAGAATTCAAGAACTAAGTATCAATTATGACTTGCTATCACCGTGGAGGGGACTATCTATTAAACCCAAGCTTCTGGAACAATTTTTTTTTTTTTTGAAACTTGGGTTTCTTGCTGTCACCCAAGATGGAGTGCAGTGGTGTGAACATGGCTCACTGCAGCCTCAACCTCCTAGACTCAAGTGATCTTCCTGCCTCAGCCTCCCAAGCAGCTGGGGACTACTGCCGCCTGCCACCACACACTGCTACATTTTGTATTTTTTATTTTTGTAGACATGGGTTCTTGCCATGTTGCCCAGGTTGCTCTTGAACTCCTGGGCTCAAGTGATTCTACCCACTTCAGCCTCCCAACGTGCTGGGATTACAGGTATTGGCCACCACACCCAGCACAGTTTTCTTTTTCTTAACATGGCTTTCTAAACTAAGAGTTATAAAAATAGCTTGTGTTTACAAATCTATAAAGATTAGATGTGCACTACTTCTTTAAAAAAACTCTTGGAGCCTGGACAACAAAGTGAGACACTATCTCAACAAAAGTTTTTTGTTTTTTTTTTTTAATTAGCCAGGAGACCAGGTGCAGTGGCTCACACCTGTAATCCCAGTACTTTGGGAGGCTGAGGCAGGTGGATCACTTGAGCTCAGGAGTTTGAGACCAGCTTGGGCAACATGCAAAACCCCATCTCTACAAAAATACAAGAATTAGCTGGGTGTGGTGGCATGCACCTGTAGTCCCAGCTACTTGGGAGGCTGAAGTGGGAGGACTGCTTGAGCCCAGGAGGCCACAGCTGCAGAGAACTGTATCACTCAACTGCACTCCAGTGAGGTTAACAGAGTAAGGCTCTGTCTAAAATTAGCCAGGCATGGTGATGCATGCCTGTGGTACCACCTACAAGGAAAGCTGAGGTGGGAAGACTGCTTGAGCCCAAGAGGTCAAGGTGTTTGTGCCACTGCACTCCAGGCTGGGTGACAGAGCAAGATCCTGTCTCAAGAAACTAAAAAACCTTTGAACCACTTCTATCAGTAGATCCTGAAACACTGCCTTTGGAATGGCTATTTTGTTTACTTCAAAGGAGCTGATTTAAAAGGCCAGAAAACAGCAAAAAAAGTAACCCAACAGGATTTAACATTTGACATTTTAAACTGTACCTCCAAAACTAAAGTTAAAACACAAACGAACCCACTTATCATCATGTGCATCATGTGATGTCAACATGAGATACTGTACAAGACAACTGATCTAATTTCTTCAAAAGTCAATTGCTTTTAAAAAGAGGGAGGGAATAAGTAAGGGGGATTTGCTCTAGTTCAAGAGAATCAGTGGTCAGGTGCAGTGGTTCACACCTGTAATCCCAGCGTTTAGGGAGGCCAAAGCGGGAGATCACTTGAGCCCATGAGTTTGAGGCCAGTCAGGGCAACACAGCAAGACCCCACCTACACACATACACACACACACACACACACACACAGAGTGAGGTGTGGTGGCACATGCCTATAGTTCTAGCTAGATGGTAGGGTGAGGCGAGAAGACTGCTTGAGCCCAGGAATTCAAGGCTGTAGTGAGCTATCATCATGCTACTACACTCCAGCCTGGGTGACAGAATGAGATCCTGTGTCTTAAAAGAAAAAAATACACAGAGAACTATGGACATAACAATCAAATGCAGTGTGTAGACCTTATCTGGATTCTGTTTCAAAAAAGATATTTTTGTCCGGTGTGGTGGCTCACACCTGTAATCCCAACACTTCTGGAGGCGGAGGTGGGTGGATGACTTGAGTCCGGGAGTTCTAGACTAGCCTGGCCAACATGGTGAAACCCCGTCTCTACTAAAAATACAAAACTTAGCTGGGCGTGGTGGCGCATGCCACTAGTTCCAGCTACTCGGGAGGCTGAGGCAGGAGGATCACTTGAACCTGGGAGGCAGAGAGAGGTTGCGGTGAGCCAAGATCACGCCACTGCACTCCAGCCTAGGCAGCAGAGCGAGACTCTGTTGCCAAAAAAAAAAAAAAAAAAAAAGGATATTTTTGGTATAAATGGAAAAATATTATGAACTGTTATTAGATAACATACTATTGAAAACGGTGTTAGATATAACATTGAAATTATGTAAAAAAAATTTTTTTTTACAGATGCATACTAAAAAAAAACCAGATGAAACAAATATAACAGATGTTATATTTTATATATAAATGTGTTAATCTAGCTGCTCTACGTACACTGTCTATGGGTTAGTCCTGCTCCACAACGAGCAGTCGAAAAAAAATTGTTAATCTAAATTATGGGCATTTGATGGCTCACTACACTACTCTCTCTACTTTTCTATGTTTGGATAACTTTACAGTCATATTACAGCACATTCATCAAAATGACTTGATGTGTGACACTTGTGCATCATTAATATCTGCTTTACTCACCGATTACCAATTTCTTCCCTGTGTTTCAACAGGGCTTGGTTGGCCATTTCTGGTTCTTCAAATTGCACATAGGCTTCCCCTGTTTTTCGTCTCCCTCTGTAGTCCATCACAAAAGTAATGTCAACTATATTCAGTCCTAGAACACGAAAAGAGTTTAGTGCTACTAGCAGGTTTTTTTATCCTTAGAATTAACACCATCATTCAAATACTAATAAAATTTTTATTCTGTTTTGCCAGTCCCAAAACTGAATACATGCTTGATAGGAAAAAATTTATTATGCAGTCAAAAGTCAGTAACACCTACATACCCTATCTCCAGAATAGGTAGGGTCCAAGAAGCCCACTCAAAACATACAATTCTCCCCATCTTTTTTTTTTTTTTTTTTTTTTTGCTGTTAATTATATACTAGGAAACAACAGAAATCACAGACTTCACTGTTAATGGTTCTAGGAATTAGATAATACCTTTAAATTACATAAATTGTTATTGTCTTACACAAATATAGCCAATTATGAGAAGTTACTTCCTTCAATAGTAAAACCCTCACAAAATTATTTTGAAATCTGACTTCCCTCCTAAAATCTGCCTGATAGAAAACACATATAAAATCTATAAATATTAGAAATTTAAGTGAAGAGCTCTCCCCTAAAGAACCTAATATAACTGCAAGAACCTAATATAATTGCCCAGAAAGAGGCTCATCTCAGATATAGAAGATAACAAGGGGAAAAAGATATGAACTCCCAAGCATAATATAACTGCAAAGTACCTGCAAAGAAATCTACAATGTCTTTCTCATTGCAACTGTAAGGAAGTCCTCTCAAACGAACCACACCATCATTTACCACAGGTGAAGATTTGACCTGCAAGCTCTTCATTAAGGCATCCACATCTTCATTGTTTATCTCATACACTACGAAGAAAAAACACAAAAGGGATGAAAATTTACATAACAAAGGAACAAACCCATTTTAAAAAATCATTACAACTTGGTGGGTTATCCAAGAATTCAAAAACTAATTCTTTTAATCTTTATGCACTTCTCTAGAGAAAATAACAAATGACATTTATCGCATATTTACCATGCAGGCATAACTTCTTTAATTCTCACAGCTTGTAAGATACTTGTCAGCCGGGTACAGAGGCTCATGCCTGTAATCCCAGAACTTTGGGAGGCCAAGGCGGGTGGATCACCTGAGGTCAGGAGTTTGAGACCAGCCTGACCAATATGGTAAAACCCCATCTCTAATAAAAATACAAAAATTAGCTGGGTATCATTTGCCTGTAGTCCCAGCTACTTGGGAGGCTGAGAGAGGAGAATTGCTTGAACCCAGGAGGTAGAGGTTGCAGTGAGCTGAGATCACGCCACTGCACTCCAGCCTGGGTGACAGAGCGAGACTCCATCCCGAAAAAAAAAAAAGATTAGCTTGGTCAATATTCTCATAAGAAAGTTTATCTATGTTTTATTCTCACAACCTATAAAAGAATGCATTCATACAATCTAAATACTTCATTATTAAGGATCAAATAAAAACTGCCTTGAAAAGTATAAAACCTAATGCAATGAACCCAAAATGTCAAAATCTGACTTCACATACCTTCCACATACCGCTGGCCCATGTACATGCGGTGCTTCTCTAAGGCTTTCTGCACATCCTGCTCTGACTCCATTTCAATTAAGGCATCACCCCTTCGTTTCCCATCTCTATTTAGGAGGAAATGTATTCCATTCTCACCGTTGCGGATTCTGCAGTCTAGAAGTGTATGAGCAAAATCAATTGAAAACAGAAATCAAACTTTTAGCTCAATTATGTAAGTCACGAGAACGCAATTTTCCAACAAACCAGGAAACAAGTGTCATATCCCTTACACAAATCCCCATCTCTTAAGCCATCCAAACACCAATAAGAATTTAGTCTCGGCCGGGCGCGGTGGCTCAAGCCTGTAATCCCAGCACTTTGGGAGGCCGAGGCGGGTGGATCACGAGGTCAGGAGATGGAGACTATCCTGGCTAACATGGTGAAACCCCGTCTCTACTAAAAATACAAAAAACTAGCCAGGCGTGGTGGCGGGCGCCTGTAGTCTCAGCTACTTGGGAGGCTGAGGCGGGAGAATGGCGTGAACCCGGGAGGCGGAGCTTGCAGTGAGCTGAGATCACGCCACTGCACTCCAGCCGGGGAGACACAGCGAGACTCCGTCTCAAAAAAAAAAAAAAAAAAAAAAAAAATTAGTCTCTAAAACCTTCCAAGTAGAAAAGATAAGCAAATCTTAGCACAGAAGCTTATGATCTCCTTCCTGATCATTAAATGGCAAATAAGGATAGGCCCAACACAAAATTCATTATTTCTATTCCAATGTTTCTACAATCACTTAAGGAAATACAATATAGTTAAATTCATACATAAGTGTCTTCCTTTAAAATCATATCCATAGGACTCTAAAGTATTTCCTCTAAGAATAATTTTATTACCATAATTTAATTTTTTTTTGTTTTTGTAGAAAGGGGGTCTCATTTTGTTGCCCAGGCTGGTCTTGAACTCTTGGGCTTAAGTAATCCTCCCACCTTAGCCTCCCAAAGTGCTGGGATTACAGGCATCAGCCACCACGCCTAGGCTTTTTGCCCTTTTCATACTGCATACTTTTTATAATGGGAAAGTCCAAGATATAAGTGGCCAAGAGGCTTTAAAAAATGTTTGACCAGGCTCACTCTGGGCATACTGCCTAGGAGTTACTCCTGCTCCACAAGGAGCAGCTAACAAAATTAATGAAATAGCCAGGCGTGGTGGCTCATGCCTGTAATCCCAGCACTTTGGGAGGCCAAAGTGGTGGATCATCTGAGGTCAGGCGTTTGAGACCAACCTGGCCAACATGGCGAAACCCTGTCTCTACTAAAAATACAAAAATTAGCCAGGCATAGTGGCAGGTGCCTGTAGTCCCAGCAACTCAGGAGGCAGAGGCAGGAGAATCGCTTGAACCCAGGAGGCGGAGGCTGCAGTGAGTCGAGACTGCGCGATACTGCACTCCAGCCTAGGTGACAGAGCGAGACTCCATCTCAAAAAATAATAATAAATAAATCATAGTCAGATACAGAAACTAAAAAAAAAATCCCAGATACATAAACTCTCCAAACATGGTACTAAGAGAACTTTATTCCTTGATACTAAGTGACCTTCTATTCTAAATGTCTGTATTACATAAATAGTCACTCTTAATTCCATATTTCCACTGACAGGCTTGACTTTTTGATGTATATGTTAATACCACAGAGAAAAATAATTTCAAACCATGCAATTTTGTTTTTTAACTTTTATTCAGTACATGTACAGGACTGTTACACAGGTAAACCATGTGTTACAGGAGGCTTGGTATACAGATCATGTAGTTACCCAGGTAGCAAGCATAGTACCCAATAGCTTTTATTTTTCTTTTTGAGAAGAGTCTTTATCTCTGTCGCCAAGGCTGGAATGCAGTGGTGTGATCTCAGCTCACTGCAACCTCCTCCTCCTGGATTCAAGCGATTCTCCTGCCTCAGCCCCCCGGGTAGCTGGGACTACGGGAGCGTGCCACCACACCTGGCTAATTTTTTTTGTATTTTTAGGAAAGATGGGGTTTCACCGTGTTAGCCAGGATGGTCTCGATCTCCTGACCTCATGATCTACCTGCCTCAGCCTTCCAAAGTGCCGGGATTACAGGCGTGAGCCACTGCACCCGGCCCCGATAGGTATTTTTTAATCCTCTCCCCCACCCTCAAGTTGGCCCTGGTGTGTTGTTCCCCTTTGTGTCCATGTGTTCTCATTGTTTAGCTCCCACTTGTAAGTGAAAATATACAGTATTTAGTTTAATGTTCCATGTTAGTCTGCTTAGGATAATGGTCTCCAGCACCACCCACATTGCTGCAAAGGATATAATCTCGTTCTTTGTTATGGCTGCATAATATTCCATCATACCAGCCAGGCGCAGTGGCTCAGGCCTGTAATCCTAGCACTTAGGGAGACAGGCAGATCATGAGATCACGAGGTCAGGAGATCGAGATCATCCTGGCTAACACGGTGAAACCCCGTCTCTACCAAAAACACAAAAAATTAACCAGGCATGGTGGTGATCGCTACTAGGGAGGCTGAGACAGGAGAATGTCATGAACTCAGGAGGCAGAGCTTGCAGTAAGCCAAGATCGTGCCACTGCACTCCAGCCTGGGTAACAGAGCAAGACTCTGTCTCAATAAATAAATAAAATTCCATTATACTATGTAGTCTTAACATTACATATTATACATTAATATATAACATTAATTATATTATATAATATATATTTATATATAATCATATATTAATTATATAGTATTAACTAAACATAATTACATATAATTATATATTATATAAAACTTGTTACATATAAATATTAACATATCACTAATAATTATATAATTAATTATATAATAAATGTATGATTATTAATATATTAAAATACAAATTATATGTACGCTATATATAAATTACATATATTATAGGCCTGAGCCTGTTAGATATGTAAAAGTTAATAAATTATATATTATATTACATATATTAACTAATTATAACGTTAATATATTCATTAATGTTTATATTAATTACATATATCAATTATATATTAATATATTAGCATTAAATAACTTTTGTTGCATTCAAAGCCTTTATATATATGTAAATTGAGACAGTCTCACAGTGTTGCCCAGTATGGTATGGAATTACTGGCCTCAAGCTATCCTCCCACCTTGGCCTCCCAAAGTGCTGGGATTACAGGCCTGAGCCACTGCCCCTGGCCCAAAGTCTTTCAATTTGTTACATACTGCAAACAGTACACATGGTATCACTTGGTATATGCAACCAACCAGAATGAGACAGTTCCCAACCATCAAAAAGGAAGTTGACAGTGTAGTCTGATGTGGATTTGTAGCACTACCTTTTACTCAGACAAAATCACATACTTATAATATACCTATCTGCTTGTGAGAAACAATATAAGGGAAAAAAATAAATAAATAAAACATACATAAAATATACCTGAGAAAAAGTTAAGCACATCTTCCATAGTGCATGACCAGGGCAGTCCTTGAGCTCGAATGAGATAGACATCATCCACTTCCTCTTCTAACTTGGATGGGGCCAATTCATACTCAGGCGGTGGTGGAAGGTCTTCCAGGTAAGTAGTTTTGGACTCCTTCCAAGGGAAATGAAGAATTGTAAAAATAGTTACATTTACAGGTAAAAAATGTAAAAAAAAAAAATTGTTAGAAAATGTTTATTCTACAAACTAATATTCTAGATATTATTTCAGAGGCAAAAAGTAAACTTCACCAATCTAACCCATCCTGTTTTGGCTTAAATTGTACATCCGAAAGCCGTAAGCAGGTATATCCTAAAGGTTTGGCAGGACATAAATTTCATGCAGGGTTTGTTTTAAAATTCATGGACCCCAAATTATAGCTAACAATAGTGTAGTTAAGGCAACACAAGAAAGGTCCCAACAATTTGACAAATATTTGATTGCCCCTACACACAGTGTTTGCCCTCATCTGAAATAGCTATCTAGAATACGACAAGCATACAAGATGAGACGCTGAGTGCTATAATTAATATACAAAATACTACAGGAATTCAAATCAGAGGACTAACAGAAGAATCAGGACGTGACATGAGATCGGCCTTGAAGGAAGGACAGAACTGTTAGAAGGATATAAAAGATACGATATTCCAGTTTGAAGGTGAGAGAAAGAAGCAGTACGACCAAAGGACCATTTGAAAAACAGCAATTAATTTCAATTAATTCCGTTTAAATTAGGAGCCAAAGAAGGTGACCTGGCAAAAGGAAGCTGGTACCATAGAGCAGAGGGCCTTGAGTGTGGAGCTCAAGGTGTGTTCTTCACTTGGTAGGCAAAGGGAATTTAACAAAAGACACTGAGGACTGTGTAAATCAACAAGATAGGATGCCTTGGGAAGATTCCTCTGTCAGCTGGTATGCCAGATCAAGTGATTAAGGGAAAGATCTTAAAGGCAACAGCAGCATTGTGAGGCTAAAGACTTGTAAAGTCTCTTTTATCGGATTAAGTAAAACTGGAATTTAGTAAGAATCCACCAAGCACTACAACCATAACCTAAGAAGACAACTCAGGCTTTAAGACTTGCACTCTACTGGGCTAGGTGCGGTGGCTAACGCCTGTAATCCCAGCACTTTAGGAGGCCAAGGTGGGCGAATCACGAGGTCAGGAGTTCAAGACCAGCCTGGCCAACATGGTGAAACCCCATCTCCACTAAAAATACAAAAAATTAGCCGGGTGTAGTGGCGTATGCCTGTAATCCCAGCTACTCGGGAGGCTGAGGCAGGAGAATCGCTTGAACCCGGGGGGCTGGAGGTTTCAGTGAGCTGAGATCTCGGCATTTCACTCCAGCCTGGGCTACAGATCAAGACTCCGTCTCAAAAAAAAAAAAAAAGAAAAAAAAGACTGCACTCTACTGGACTAAGGACAGAGATATCTTTGTACTATCAATCATTTTTTTTTTGAGACGGAGTTACGCTCTTGTCGGCCAGACTAGAGTGCAACGGCGCAATCAGCCTCCCGAGTAGCTGGGATTACAGGCGCCTGCCACCATGCCTGGCTTTTTTGCGTTTTTTAGTACAGATGGAGTTTCACCATGTTGGTCAGGCTGGTATCGAACTCCTGACCTCAGGTGATCCACTCGCCGCAGCCTCCCAAAGTGCCGCGCCCGGCCCTATCTATAATTTTCATGAAGGCTTAATGTTTAGTTTTAAGGAATAAATGTAAGCAGTGTCTAACACACAGATGCTCTACAGATACCACTGCCTCAATTTCACAGAAAAAAAAAAGAGAAGCTAGCTCACAAAGGTTCATTAGAGATTGTTTTGTTGTGGTTTTTGTAGACAACTTTCCCTATTTTTCCAGAATTCCATAAGCATCACAAGCTTTCACAGAAAAAGGCAGCGGAAAGTATTGGGCCAGGATTCTAATCAATTAGCTCAGCCGCTGGCACACAGCAGCCATGCTGATGAGCCTCCCAGTCTCCCTAAGTTAAAGGAGAAGCACAAATTGAATTCAGATAAATATGACCCAAAGAATCAGGGGCTGGGTAGTTAAAAAGTGTGCAGACACTTCCCAGATGCCACATAACAATAAGAGAAAGGTTCATCTACAAGACACAAAATATTTGCAATCTGAGTTAAGTACATACCGACTTTTCTAAAAAATAAAGAAAAAATGGAAAGGAAAACATTGTAAATTCATTCCTGGGACCCCAAATTGTGTCCTCAACCCTCAACGCTCCCTCCCCTTCACCCCCTCCCACCAACAGCTAAACCTCCAAACTGCTTTCCCAGACGAGGCGACACACAGTCCTAAAAGACCTTCTGTACGAGTGGAGTTGCAGAGGTGACCTTCAGTAAACCGGGACAGCTCGTCTTTCCCTGGGGACAGGACAGGGAAGGGCGCGATGGGGACAGGTTCCTTCCCTACAAGCCAGCCCACGCAACTGTGTGCGCGCACCTTCTCAGCCGCGGCCCACCGAGAGGCGCCGAGGGCCGCCCAGGCCTAGCGCTCACGCTGCACGGAAACCCCCAACCCTCGGCGGGCTCCGGCCTCGCAACTTCACAACCTGCTGGTGGAAAGCAAAAGGGATCCGAGGTGGGCGCGTCAGCAGCCTCACGAAACCTACCATGGGCCCGGCGGGGAACAAGGCCTCAACATTCACCCCAGCCACACTTAAACTGCCCAACAGACCCAGAATCGAGGGGAGAACAAATCAAGGAGAAAACCCGACGCCTAGGAGAGCTTCCCTTGTTCCGGGGCCCAATAGGAGCACAGGGCGGACGGGGGAGGGTGTGCGGCGCGAGTCGCGGATCCCCGGGCGCGCCAGCGAAGTGCACACGGAGGGGCGCGGGGGCGCGTGCGCGCAGCCCGGGAGGGGTCTAGCGCCAGGTCCCTAGCGGCGCCCACGTACCTGGCTGTAGCTACGCGTCGGGCCCGCGGCCGCCGCCAGCGACTGCGGCAGCAGAGGGGCACGGAGGGCAGGGTAGGCCGCGGCGGCCGCCGCCGCGGCAGAGGTGGCCACAGGGGAAGGCCCCGCCAGCCTCCCGGGAGGCACAGGCCCGGTCTGGAGGCCACGCGTCTGGGAGGCAGCGGCCGCGGCGGCCCCGAGCAGCAGCAGGAGGCGGCGGCGGCCCGAGACGCCAGACGGGATAGAGCCAGCGGCAGAGTAGAAGGGCAGGCAGGCGGCGCCAGTGCGCCGGCAGCTGCTGCAGTTACAGCCGCAGCCCCGGAGCAGCGCCCCGAGTACCCAGCGCGTGCCGGCCATGGACTCCGGAGGCGGCGTGGGGCCTGTAGGCAGCTGCGGCTGCAGCGCGAGTGGAGCGGAAGTGGAATCCAGGGCCGGTTGGGGGTGGGGGTGCCGGGAACATGCGCCGCGGGCACAGGGGGCAGCGGTGAGTCGAAAGAGGCGGAGGAGAGCGCGACGCTCCGCCCAGTCTCCGCCCTTAGGGCGGGGCTGCCCATAGCTTGGGAGGGGCCCCGGGAAGGGGGTGCAGTCGATCTGCTCTTTTTTCAGGCGGGGTAAACTGAGGCCCAAAGAAAGTGAGGCTTGGGGCCGGGCACAGTGGCTCATTCCTGTAATCCTAGCACTTTGGGAGGCCGAGGTGGGCGGATTTCCTGAGCTCAGGAGTTTGAGACCAACCTAGGCATCACTGTGAAACCCCGTCTCTACTAAAATACAAAAAGTTAGGCCGGGTGTGGTGGCTCACGCCAGTAATCCCAGCACTTTAGGAGGCCGACGGAGGGGGAGCGGATCACCTGAGGTCAGGAGTTCAAGACCAGCCTGGCCAACATGGTGAAACTGTGTCGCTACTAAAAATGCAAAAATTACCCGGGTGTGGTGGCGGGCTCCTGTAATCCCAGCTACTCAGGAGGCTGAGGCAGGAGAATCACTTGAACCCGGGAGGCGGAAGTTGCAGTGAGCCGAGATCATGCTACTTCTCTCCAGCCTGGGCGACATACTGAGACGCCATCTCAAAAAAAAAAAAAAGGAGGGCCATCCTGCTCTGGGTAGAGCCGAGACCTATAGCACAGGTCTGTGCCACCCCAAGATGTGCCACCGAAACCCGTGGTGTGAACGGCTAAAGAACCCTTTCTGAAAGGAATTGTGATACTCTGGTTATAAAAAAAATCGTTGGGATAATATCAGAGATTTGGTACCCCCCAAATTTGAGATACATGAGGAAGGAGAGCATTCTTTGTTGTTTTAAAATGAAATACAGACACGGCGTGGTGGCTCATGCCTATAATCCCAGCACTTTGGGAGGCTGAAGTGAGAGGATCACTGGATCCCAAGAGTTGCAGACCAGCCTGGGCAATATAGGGAGACCCCGTCTCTACAAAAAATAAAAAAAGCCGGGCATGATGGCCTGGGCCTGTAGTCCCAACTACTTGGGAGGCCGATTGCTTCAGCCCAGGAGGTGGAGGCTGCAGTAAGCTATGATTGCCAACACTGAACTCCAGCCTGGGTGACAGAGTGAAACCCTGTCACTAAAAAAATAAAACATATATATTTATTATGTACTGATCAAGCGCATAACAAAGGTGAATCCTCCCCTAATGAAACTGTATTCACAAGGGAACACAGAGATTTGCACACACACACACACACACACACACAGAGACTGGTTGTGTAGCTTTCCTCCTCCTGAGACCAGGACCTGTCAGAGACAAGCAAAAGGAAGTTGTTAGAGTAAAAAATAAGAGAAAGCTAGTATTTTTAAAAACTTCTTACTGTGGAGAATATCAAACAGAAGAACAGAATGAATTTCCAGAACTTCATAAATTGTGAACACTTTTCAATCTTGTTTCATCTATCCCCTGCCACCATCTTCCAAACCTTATTTTCTTTGCTAGAATATTTTAAAGCAATGGGTATTACATTTAAAGTTTGACTTGTTTAACCTGTACTACTTTTAGGTAAGGAAAGTTCAGTATTTCTTAGAAAACCCTTTCCCCAACCAAAAAACAAAGAACAAGAAAAAAATTGATAGACTTGGCTCTATGAACCTGCAGTATCAAAGAGAAGGGGGCTCAGTTTTCTCTTTTGGGTTAAAATACAGTCCAACAGAGAGTATTGTCATTTTTGTACAAAAACAGGGACAAAAGAAAAGGCAACAGTGCAAATACTCCATCTTCCAGGAAGGGAGGCTGGGATGCCTTAGTGTTAAAATGACAAAAGCAAAGCCCAGAGCAGGAACCATGATCCCTCAGAGGAGTCCCAAAAATGTCCAAGACAGCCTCGCTGGGAGAGGGGGTGTGGGAAGGGCAGGCCCCCAAGAGAGAGGTCTGCACATCCTCTGGCTAGAGACTAGGCCCGGGCCCCACTTATGCCACCAGCCCTCACCTCCCTTTGGGGTAAGAGCAGGTGCTGAGGTGAGGCTGGTTTTTGTTCCCCACTACTACTTTGTGATTTGTTCTTGGATACCTGGAAAGGGGCCAATTGAGGCCTCAGGGGTTGAGGCCCCTCTGGAACTGTGGTTCCTAGGAATGGGCTTGGACATAGAAGCCACTGGATATCTCTTCCCTGAACAGTAATTTTGTTTGTCAGTAACCCTGTAACTTCACAAGGAAAACAAAGAACAGGCTAGTCTTCCCCGCCCCAGCCAAAAAAGAGAAGGAGGTTTCTTCATCTGCAAGATTTGGGAATCCTAGAGTTATTTATTTATTTAGAGATAGGGTTTTGCTTTTTTGCCCTTGCTGGGGTGCAGTGGTGGGAATATGACTCACTGTAGCGTTGACCTCCCGGGTTCAAGTAATCCTCCTGCCTCAGCCTCCCAAAGTGCTTGGGATTACAGGCATGAACCACCACGCCTGGCCTATTTTTCTTTTCGTAAGCCTCCCTTTTAAGAAGAAAAATGGGTTAGCCCTTCCTAACAGATCATCACTACAAATAACAGGTTGCTGATGTATTAGAGACTCTGCCTATATTTACTCTTGCCCTCCTTTTCTTAATAGCAGCAGTCATCATCTATAACATAAAAATCTGAGTGGATTGGAAACTTAGATAGAAATTCTGTACTTTATAATCAGGAGGGTAAATAATAAGAGGCAGCCTGGGCAACCTGGCAACATCCCGTATCTACTAAAAACACAAAAAAGTAGCTGGGCGTGGTGGCACCTGCCTGTGGTCCCAAAAAGTCATACACTCTCTCGCAGCACAAACTAACCCTAAAACCGGAGTCCACAAGGTTGAGGCTTCAGTGAGCCGATATCGCACCACTGCACTCCAGCACTCCAAGGTAACACCTGCCAACCTCATGACAGAGACCCTGTCTCAAAAGTAAATAAATAAATAAAATTAAACTATAAGAGGTCATTGGTTTGGACTGAGCTCTTCTACTAGGCCCAAAAGACCAAATCAAAATGAAGTTAACTCACTTTCCACAAGTCCAAGTTGAAACTAAGTTTATTTGACCTTCTGAGTAATCAGGAGAGACAGATAAAGGCCAAATCCTCGAACAGACCCGTGGTAGCTGGCAGGATAAGGAAGTCCCCTCTGCTTTCACCTTTATAGGGAAAACACCTGAAACAACCAATCTGCTTTGTGTTCTCTGTTTTTACTTTCCTTGGCCCTTTTCTATCTACAAACCCAGCCTCCTTTGCTCAGCTCATCAAAACACTCACTCTACTTTATAGAATGAGATGTTTCTATTCTAGAATAGAAAATAAGTCAATTAAGATTTGTATGGGCCGGGCGCGGTGGCTCACGCCTGTAATCCCAGCACTTTGGGAGGCCGAGGCGGGCGGATCACAAGGTCAGGAGATCCAGACCACGGTGAAACCCCGTTTCTGCTAAAAATACAAAAACTTAGCCAGGCGCGGTGGCGGACCCTTGTAGTCCCAGCTACTCAGGAGGCTGAGGCAGGAGCAGGAGAATGGCGTGAACCCAGGAGGCGGAGCTTGCAGTGAGCCGAGATCGCGCCACTGCACTCCAGCCTGGGGGACAGAGCGAGACTCCGTCTCAAAAAAAAAAAAAAAAAAAAAAGGATTTGTAGAAGGCGAGGCTGGGCGCGGTGGCTCACGCCAGTAATCCCAGCACTTTGGGAGGCCAAGGTGGGTGGATCACCTGAGGTCTGGAGTTCGAGTTCAGCCTTACCAACATGGAGAAACCCCATCTCTACTAAAAATACAAAATTAGCTGGGCATGGTGGCGCATGCCTGTAATTCCAGCTACTCGGGAGGCTGAGGCAGGAGAATTGCTTGAACCCAGGAGGCAGAGGTTGCCGTGAGCTGAGATCGTGCCAATGCATTCCAACCTAGGCGACAAGAAGGAAATTCTGTCTAAAAAAAAAAAAAAAAAAAAATTGTAAAAGGCACGTGCGGTGGCTCATGCCTGTAATCCCAGCACTTTGGGAGGCCGAGGCGGGCAGATCACTTGAGGTCAGGAGTTGAAAACCAGCCTGGCCAATATGGTGAAACCCCATCTCTACTAAAATACAAAAATTAGCTGGGCATGGTGGTGTACGCCTGTAATCCTAGCTACTTGGGAGGCTGAGGCAAAAGAATTACTTGAACCCGGGAGGCAGAGGTTGCAGTGAGCCGAGATGGCGCCGCTGTACTCTAGCCTGGGTGACAGAGAGAGAGACTGTCTCAAAAAAAAAAAAAAAAAAAAAGATTTGTAAACTAAATTCATTGTAATTTTGTCTTTTGACAGTTCTGGCAACCGACAAAGGGACCTGAAGGACACTGCTGATGACTTCTGAGACTCCCAGATGAATATCAGAGAGGTGCCACAGAGCCACAGATGCCTTTTGAAATCTTCGGTCTTCCTCATGGAGCCTCAAGAATTATAGGTTAAGTTCCTCTCAGGTGGACTCCCCTTTTTCTTTTTGGCTTTTGAATTTGGGGTTAGTTTATGCTGTGAGGCAGTGCATGACCTTTTGGGGTTTGCAGCGGCTGACGAGTCATTGGCAAGAGCTGCAATTTTGTCTTGGCTGGGCGCGGTGGTGCATGCCTGTAACCCCAGCACTTGGAGAGGCAGGTGGATTGCTTGAGATCAGCTGGCCAACATAGCAAAACCCCTTCTCTACTAAAAATACAAAAATTAGCCCGGTGTGGTGGTGCGCCCCGATAATCCCAGCTACTCGGGAGGCTGAGGCATGAGAATCATTTGTCTGTCTCAAACCAACAAACAAAAGAAACAACCAGAGAACAAAAATAAAAAACAAAAAAAAAGAGACAGGGGTCTGGTAATGTTTCCCAGGCTGGAGTACAGTGGTTATTCACAAGCACAATCACAGGACACTACTGCCTCAAACTGCTGGGCTCAAGCGATCCTTCTGCCTTTGCCTCTGAGTGCCTGGGATTACAGGTGTGTGCCATTAAGTCTGGCTTAAGAGCTGCAGGTTTTTGGTTTGTTTTGTTTTGTTTTGTTGGTTTTGTTTATTGTTTAGTTGTTTACCTTACTCATGGACTCAGGTAACAAGGAGCTGCATTTTAAGACAGTGTTGTTCTAAGTGGTTATTCCTGCAGGAGGCATGAATTCTGCCTTTTGGAATCTGCTGGCATTTTAATTCTATCCTTTTTGTTATGTTTTCTTGCTTGCTTAGGTAGAAGAAAAAATCACTAGGTAAGTTGGTCAAGGGGATCTCAGAGCCAAAGCCACCATTTAACTAGTGGGCACAGTTCAGGTACTTAAGAGCTATTAGAGTGCTGGCCACTAAAAAATGAGACTCCCTGTTAGAATAAACTAGACGTGAAACAAGGTAGCACTTGCCATCCTCAATAAAATGTTTATGCAGTGAGGTACACTGTGAAATAATTATACCACCCAACCCCATGATGTTTCCCTCTTAGGCTTCCCCCCGCCCCCACCTTGAGATGGAGTCTCACTCTGTAGCCCAAGCTGGAGTGCAGTGGTGCAATCTCGGCTCACTGCAACCTCCGCCTCCGGGATTCAAGCGATTCTCGCCTCAGCCTCCTGAGTAGCTGGGACTACAGGTGGCGCCATCATGCCTGGCTAATTTTTTTTGTATTTTTAGTAGAGATGGGGTTTCACCATGTTGCCCTGGGTGTTCTTGAACTCCTGAGCTCAGGCAATCAACCTGCCTTGGCCTCCCAAAGTGCTGGGATTGCAGATGTGAGCCATCATGCCTGGCCCCCACTTAGGCTTTTGTCTTGACTTCGAGAGATCCAAGAGTCAATGTAAAAATGAGATCCTTAATTTTTTTTTTTTTTTTTTTTTTTTTTTGAGATTGGAGTCTTGCTCTGTTGCCTGGGCTCACTGCAACCTCCACCTCCCGGGTTCAAGCCATTCTCCTGCTTCAGCCTCCCGAGTAGCTGGGACTACAGGTGTGCACCACCATGCCCAGCTGATTTTTGTATTTTTAGTAGAGACCAAGTTTCACTATGTTGACCAGGCTGGTCTTGAACTCCTGACTCAGGTGATCCACCTACCTTGGCCTCCCAAAGTGCTAGGATTACAGGTGTGAGCCATCGCACCCGGCCAGATTCTTAATTTCTGAAGAAATGAATATTCCACCTTCCAGCTACACCTGCCTTTTACTTGTATAAGTATAAGGCCCCAGTAGCTGAAAATACTTATAAAGGTGGTGAAATCAGTGAAATCTTACTAAAGATTACTTGAAATTACAATGGTCATTATGTGGACCATTCCAGATGAGACTTGACTTTTTTTTTTCTTTTTGAGATAGAGTCTCACTCTGTCACCCAGGCTGGAGGGCAGTGGCACGATCTTGACTCACTGCAACCTCCGCCTCCTGGGTTCAAGCAATTATCATGCTTCAACCTCCCGAGTAGCTGGGATTATAGGCGTTCTCCACCACACTCGGCTAATTTTGTATTTTTAGTAGAGATGGGGTTTCACCATGTTGGCCAAGCTGGTCTCAAACTCCTGACCTCAAGTGATCTGCCCGTCTCGGCTTCCCAAAGTGCTGAGATTACAGGCATGAGCCAACACGCCAGGCTGATATTCAACTTTAAGAAGTGCGTTTAGACCAGGTATGGTGGCTCATGCCTGTAATCCCAGCACTTTGGGAGGCTGAGGCGGGTGGATTGCTTGAGCTCAGGAGTTTGAGACCAGTCTGGGCAACACAGTGAAACCCTGTTTCTACAAAAATTTCAAAAATTAGCCAGGTGTGGTGGTGGGCACCTGTAGTCCCAGCTAGTCGGAGGGCTGAGGTGGGAGGATTGCTTGAACTCAGGAGGCGGAGGTTGCAGTGAGCTAAGATTATGCCACTGCACTCCAGCCTGGGCTACAGAAGGAGACCCTGTCTCAAAAAAAGAAAAGGAAGTGCATTTAAAAATGAGGGTTCCTGACTGGGCGTGGTGGCTCACGCCTGTAATCCCAGCACTTTGGGAGGCTGAGGCGGGTGGATCACAAGGTCAGGAGATCGAGAACATCCTGGCTAACACAGTGAAACCCCATCTCTACTAAAAAAAATCTCTACAAAAACATTAGCTGGGTGTGGTGGCAGGTGCCTGTGGTCCCAGCTACTCGGGAGGCTGAGGCAGGAGAATGGTGTGAACCTGGGAGGTAGAGCTTGCAGTGGGCCGAGATGCCACTGCACTTCAGCCTGGGCAACAGAGTGAGACTCCGTCTCAAAAAAAAAAAAAAAAAAAATTAGGTTTCCTGCTGGGCATAGTAGCTCTAACCTGTAATCTCAGCACTTTGTGAGGCCAAAGAGGGATAATTACTTGGGCCCAGGAGTTCAAGACCAACCTGAGCAACATAGACCACATTTCTATAAAAACTTTGAAAAATTAGCTGGGCATGGTGACATACCCCTGTAGTTACTAGCTACTTGGGAGGCTGCGACGGGAGGATCTCTTGAGTCCAGGAGTTTGAGGCTGCAGTGAATTCTGATCGCACACCACTGCACTCTAGACTGGGCTACAGAGCAAGACCTTGTCTCCAAAACGAGAGAGAGAGAGAGTTCCTGAATTAGACCCACCCAGGGATGCCTATGGATATGCAGAACCTTCTAAAAAGATTTCAAAATTTTTTCTTGCTTCTTTTAAAAGACTTATTACAAAAGGCAAGTGAAAAGCTTAAGTAATTAATTGATAAGAAAAATGGAAACTGCCAACCTTTTTGCTTAGTTACTATCACACCCCAAAGACAAAGAGAAAGCAGGAAAAGTGTTTTTTATAAAGCGTAGACCCTCAGGTCAAGCAGTTTTGCTTTTTTTTTTTTTCAGAGTTCTCAATGTTAGAGTCCAGACATAGAAAATGATTTGTCTGACCTATTTGTTAATGGACTCCACCCTAAACTCAGTAATCCAGTTAAGAAACAGAAGCAAAATTGAAAAGCCACCAATCTGACTAAATTATTATCCAGAATACGGCATTCTGGCATTCAGCTAGTTTTTTTGTTTGTTTGTTTGTTTGTTTGTTTGTTTTTAAGACAGAGTCTCCCTCTGTTGTCCAGGCTAAAGCGCAGTGGCACAATCTCGGCTCACTGCAATCTCCGCCTCCTGGGTTCAAGTGATTCTCCTGCCCCAGCCTCCTGAGTAAGCAGCTTGGATTACACGTGCGTGCCACCACATCCAGCTAAGTTTTGTGTTATTAGTAGAGACAGGATTTCGCCATGTTGATCAGGCTGGTCTCAAACTCCTGACCTCAAGTGATCCACCTGCCTTGGCCTCCCAAAGTATTGGAATTATAGGCGTGAGCCACTGTGCCCAGCCTGATTTTTTTTTTTTTTTTTTTTTTGAGACGGAGTCTGGCTCTGTCGCCCAGGCTGGAGTGCAGTGGCCAGATCTCAGCTCACTGCAAGCTCTGCCTCCCGGGTTTACGCCATTCTCCTGCCTCAGCCTCCCGAGTAGCTGGGACTACAGGCGCCCGCCACTGCGCCCGGCTAGCTTTTTGTATTTTTTAATAGAGACGGGGTTTCACCGCGTTAGCCAGGATGGTCTCGATCTCCTGACCTCGTGATCCGCCTGTCTCGGCCTCCCAAAGTGCTGGGATTACAGGCTTGAGCCACCGCGCCCGGCCGATTTTTTTTTTAAATACGGAATGCTTCACAAATTTGCGTGTCATCCTTATGGAGGAGACCATGCTAATCATCTCTGTATCATTCTAATTGCAAGCACCAGATTTTTTTTAATGTTCAGTTTTTTTTAGAACCGAGTTCTTTTTCTGTCACCCAGGTGGGAGCGCAATGGTACAATCGTAGCTCACTGCAACCTCAAATTCCTAAGTTTAAGCAATTCTCTTGCCTCAGCCTCCCAAGTAGCTAGGACTACAAGCACACATCACCAGACCTGGCTAATTTTTAAAAAATTTCTTGTAGACACAAAATCTTGTCATATTGCCTAGGCTGGTCTTGAACCTCTGGCCTCAAGTGATCCTCCCACCTCGGCCTCCAAAAATGCTGGAGTTATAGGCCTGAACCACCATGCCTGACCTCGAATCAGACTTTTAACCATAGCCATTTTAAGTCCACAGTTAATTATCTTATTCTCATGCTGTTCTGAAACCTTTTTTTTTTCTTTTTTGAAGCAGAGTCTCACTCTGTTGCCCAGGCTGGAGTGCAATATCATGATCTTGGCTCACTGCAACCTCCACCTCCCTGGCTCAAGGGATCCTCTGAGTAGCTAGGACTACAGGTGTGCACCACTACGCCCAGCTAATTTTTTTTTTTTTTGTAGAGATAAGGTTTCACCGTGTTGCCCAGGCTGGTCTCGAACTCTTAGGCTCAAGCAGTCTGCCCACCTTGGCCTCCCAAAGTGCTGGGATTACAGGCATGAGCCACCTGCCCAGCCCTTCTGAGAGCTTTTTGCAAACAACTGTAATCCTAAAGTGTTGTGTCTTCAAGAAGATTCATGGGAAGTGTGGCCCGGTGCAG